TACTCTTCTTTAATCTCCTTCTTTGATTTCCAACTTCCATTTTTATTCTCTAACCTTTGATAAAATAATTCCCATATCATATAATATTCAGTTTGTTCTTTCTCCTTAATTTCCAGCATTAATCTGTTCATTACAGCACATTCTAATATTTTCCTAATCACCTTCTCATCAGTAGGGATCTCTTCACTTTTCCAATTTTGTGCAAATATCATTCTAGCTATGGTTAATACATGAATGATTAAATATGTATTATCTTTACTATACGTTTCAAGTAAGATCCCCAACAGAAATATTTCTGGCTTTAAATCAATGTGCTGTTTTATCATCTTTTCCAACCATGTATGTATTTTTGCCCAGTATTTTTTGCTTCTACACATGTCTACCATATATGATAAGACCCAGGTATCTGGTGGTACTTCCATCATTTAGCTGACTTATCTTTAAACATCTTTGGCAACCTCACCAGTGCAAAGTATGGCAAATTTCTCAGAGATCTACCAATAAATTTCAATTTACTTTCCTATCCTTGCTTCAGCTTATTTTTACCACCAAGACGTCTTTTTTAAAAAAATGCTGATGTGTGTGTGTGGCAGGCAATGTTACAATGAAGTTTTTAAAAAAATGATTGCTTGTGATTGTCCAGGGAATTGGACTGTTCGTCTATTTGCCTAGGGCAGCACCACGTGAGGTTGAGAAGCTCTTACTGTCATGAATAAATTGTGGAACTGTATCATTAAAAAAAGTTTTTAAAGAACTGGCAGTTCTGAAACTGCTCTTGGCAGATCCTGCCCAGCTTGAAAGATTTTAGTGCAATAGACGGTAAGCTTTCTCAATCTTATCTGCTACTTCAGGATTTTACAATAGGTGTCAATATTTGGGGGAAAAAAGCAAAAGTATTTTATCACTCCATTTAGTATACTGGCAATAAAATAAAATATCAGAGTTAATTTTTGAACCACCATCTGAAAATCCAGAAAGAGTTTAATATCAAGGAATACTTCCAAATTAGAAAACTATACTTTCTAGTTTCTGTCTGAATATTGTTTTATTGAGCTCACTCAAGATATCATTGGTGAGTTTGATAAAATATGGGATAGATGACTAATGTAAATCGTGAATGAAGAATCACATCCTTCTACCCTGAAAGTGCATCAAAAATATTAGCTTTAATGTAGCCCGGTTATGTAATCCATGAAAATGCCCCAATTGGGGGTTTGTAAATGGTACAAAATTGACCTATGTTTGGATCTAGATTTTTTTTAAAAAGTTCTGAATGCAAGTATTTTATAGATTATATAGATTAAGCTTTGACATTAGTCTCAGATTATTTTATTTTATTAGTACTGCTAAATGCATCGGTGAAACTCTGGATCATGTGGCAAAATCATCCAGTAACAAAGGCCACAATCCCACGACAAAAGTCAACATTTTATAGGAGAAAAGTATAAAAAGACTAAAGGTGTTTGGCTTAAAAATGTTTATAGTTAAAGAATTTCCATAACTATACAGACACTGTGGAATATAACCGAGGACACTATAGGGTCAATTACTGTTCTTTTTGCATTGCACCATCAGGCCAGCTGACTGAGAGAAGTGGGAATGTCAAGAAGTTCAAGCTGGGTTTTTTGCATTACAGCTGAATTTCCTCCTTGCTTGGAGGTGAATCAGATGATACCAGAGAACTGATGGCCTTCTGTAACATAAAAATCCAGATCAGCGGCACCCTCCCAAATTGGGAAGCATGTTGCTGGGAAGAAGCCAAATCTAGAATCAATATATTAAACAATGACTTAGATGACAGCATTCTACTATGACCCACAATGTGACACTCCCTTGTTCTTCCCTTCTATTTATTTTTAGATCTTTAATTGCAAGCTATGCTGAATGACCAGATCTAGATGTTCTTTAAATGTCCCAGCATGCTATGAGCAATGCTTTATCAGGAAGATCATGGCAATTATAAATGGCTGTTTTATGCGGTTGTCTACTATGGTTGTGAGATTACAACTCTAATCTCTTAAAATATATAGGGTTTAACAGTAGGCATGCCTCCATTAGGCATTCTTCAATCAAAATCCCCTCAAATCTGGAACCAACTCAGGGGGAAAGTACCACATTGTTCAGACACTTATGTGATAATTTGTCTGTTTGTTGGATACAATAGACATGCATATAATCTGATTCTTCTTGCTTACTTATATTTTCACTAAATAAATGCAAGCCCAATTCACCCAGATACCTGCTATCTAATATTTTAGAACTGACATGCTGATAGGAAAATTGAAAGTCTGAATTTGAAACATTGGAATGTTTCAGTATCGAAGAAATGTAGAGAAAGGTGTTAAGTAGATTTCATAGTACTAAATAGGAGGGAAAATAGAATTTGTTAAAGAAATAATTATGGATAAAACTATTATATTAAAACTCCTTATTTCAAAATGAAACATAGAAGTACTTTGCTTCCAAGATGAATTCAATAATTTTCTGGCTTTCTGTTTAATGATAACATCATTGCTTATATTTATTTTATGTTTATTTGTCTGAATTGCCAAAACCAGCCACTGATCAGATATCTAGCCTAGAGAAATCTGAGCTCATCTCATCTGATGCTCTCAGCAGTAACATGAATCACAAAAGGAAGAAAAATAGCAGCAATAATAAAAATTAGTTCATTCTACTTTGATCATCTGTTAAGGATACTTCTTTTGCGGAATATCTAGCCAGGTTTTCTTGGAAAAATTTTGGTGACAATATCAAAATATTCATAATAATTATACATCTGATATAATAGTTGTACTATTACAGATACAAATGGCAGTTTTTGCTCCTTGAGTTAATTCTGTCCATCTACAATTTCCAGACTATGCTCACAATCGGTATCTCTAGCTGTCTGTATTTACTGGCATTAGATGTAAGAATGCAAGCAACTGAATAGACAGAGGAGGAAATCGNGGACATGCGGTCTCGATACTCCGAGACCGCAGCTGATACTTTTGCCATTGGGTGGTCCAATTGGACCTAAACCGTCCGATGAACCGATGAAGTGCCAGAAGGATATCTGAAATGAAGTTGATAGAAGATAAAAAGAGAATTTTACTAGACATGACTATGTGTCAAAGCTGTGACTTATAGTATGGTAGTCAGGACAGTGAAGTATAGTTATTTCTTCAACCTTATTGCATATGTCGAGTGCTGTCACGGATCTCTTTTCATATTAAACTATGCCTTTTTTAGGATATGATGGCCTGAAAAATTGTTTAGAGGACCTCTATGAAATATTAACTTGATAAAGTCAATTGGATTCATTTTGAATTGGAAGTCAGCCTGGCAGATCTTGAGAAGATAACCCAGATAATGCTTTGGAACATAACTGGGGAGGAGCTTAAACCTGTTACTATTGAAGAAGAGGACAGTTTTTGGTGAGATGGTCACTTCTGGACTGGATACCTATTCTATCTAGCTTATACTGTCTAAGATCTCAGGGAAGGGGCATGAAGCACATAAGAAGTCATCAAACTTAAAAAAATACAAAATAAATTATGTGTGTTTGTTATATAGGTTATGATTTACATGTAGCCTATGTAGGCATAAAATAGTTGTAATAAATAAAATAATAAAATAAATCTGGGTCTCCTTCCCAAATTTTCCTTTTATGAAAAAGCAGAAAGGATTTCTATATCTTTTGGCCAATCAAACAAACAAACAGAAATCAGGTAAGAAAAGAAATTTCAGAATTTCCTCTATTTAATTAAATACTTCTACAGCAATTTATTTAGGACAAGTCTCAGACACTTTGAAGGAGATCATCCAGTTGAGTATTCAGGTGTTCCCATGAGCAAATTCATAAGCCTAATCATTTTAGCAGATTCTTGCAGGCAAAATATATCATAGGAAAATTAAATGAAATGTCTGGGTTTGTGGCCTAGATATTATTTCCAGAACAATCTTCCTGACCATTGTTAGAGACTGAATTGGTCTGATCTGGCAAGACAGTTCTTAGGCTCATATGGCCCATTACAGGCTGAATCACTGAGTTATGTGACTTATTGACCCCAATGTCTGCTGCTAAGGAGAAAAACAAAATTCCACATTAGGAGTTATTAAAAAAAAGAGTAAAAATAAATGAAAGAAACAATATTATAATACTTTTATAAGGGGCAAGCATTCTTCAAAAACGATTCAGCAGGAACACAGTACCTTTAAATGATTCATTTAAAGGACACCCTCATTTTTTCAGGTTTCTTCATTATCTGGAAGGACTATATCACTGCTTTAAAGAATCTACTTGCTAATGTTAGTGACTTTTAAACCAATGGCACTTTCTTCAGGCAAATATAGGAGCCAGGAATAGACTGGGATCCTTTAATGAACCATGGAAAGATGCTATCTTCTGTTGGCAGAAGGCTTTCAAAATGTACACCTATCCACTTAGTCATTGGTCTAACCACACTGTAGAATATATAATTTTATTCGCTGCATTTCAAAAAAGAATCGTATAGAACTGTAGAAAGGAATACGTGGGGGCAATCAAATTGATCAAGGGACTGGAATGATTCCATAGAAAGTAAATGTTCAACAACTGAACTTTTTGCTTGGAAAAAATGTATAAAATTATTCTTACTGTGGAAAAATTAATTAGGGGAGGTCTTTCTCTTTTGGTCTGTCTGTTTTGTCTGTCTTTCTTTCTCTCAGAATAGGAAACCATTCAGTGATGTTGAAAGATGGGAAATCTACGAGAAACAATAGGAAAGATCATTTGTAACTACAGTTTTCTGGTTGTCTATTTTGCTCTTAATATCACAGGAGCAAAGTTGATAAAAAGCAAGAGCCCTAAACATGATATCCATCTTTTCTTCAGCCTGGGCTTCCAGTAAGAAATCTTCTAAAACAAATTATATGACATAGATGAAGAGATGATGTAACATATGCTTACAGTAACCTATCTAGCAGTTTTAATCCCAATTTAATTATAACATTAATTTTATACATTATTCTATTTATTGGCTACTTTATATTATACATCAACCAGAGATCCTCTTTGATGGAGATGGGTGGTTTAGAAATATGAAACATTAAATCAATCAACAAAATTAATTAATCAATCAATCTGGGGAATAACTCTCCCTCTGCAGTTTCAGTCTATTCTTGCTCATTCAAACAAATTACACTAACTAAATGAACAGAATGTATTTTACTTATGGTTATTCAGTCATTAAGTGTAAAAAATAACTATGAATAAGCATGTCAAGTTTTTTTATTGGCAAGACAAGCTATGTCTTCTCCTCTCTAAAGTCCAGTCTGCCTGGACTTCTTGTATAGTGGACTTGGCAGCAAACATCTGAGCTGAGCCTCTCTTCAGCAAGTGACCACAGAAAACATCAGTGGGATGCTGAAAATTCCTCCAGAACAAAGGGGGGAAACAGAATGTGTCCCCACAGTCCCCACATAGCTGCTTCTCTTGTACAAATTGCAAAATGAAAGCTTTAGTGGAGTGTCTAGTGGATGAGAAAATATGATCTGTTCAAGACTGAGGTGCACCATTTATGTTCCCTTGATTCTGGCATCCCATTTCCCTGTAAAATATAATTGATTGTATTCTGAAGGTGTTGTGATTATTCATCTTCAAAACATTTAGAATAAATACTTAACTTTATTTTTTAATAACTTGTGAGATTTCCATCATTATGATTGTTCCATTCATAAAGTTTCTTTATGTGTCAGTAAGACATGGTAAATCTACTTTTGAAGATAACGTTCTATTTCTTCCAAATAGATGTCAGATCTTTTATATAAATTGGAATAGTAATGATGAAAGGGTTTTTTTTTGTATAGCCAAAATATTTGGTATAAGTGAGTTACCATGACAACCATGACCTATCCCACATTATTGAAGTTTGAAGACATAATGCACTCTAGATCTGATTTTTTATCTTAGTATAGTTGCAATGTGATCTGATTTTGAAGGACATTCCAATCAGTCTGTGGCCATGACCAAGTAACTCTGTTTCTTGGCTTTCTGGGCCAGCTGCCATGGGCAGGTTCAATTGGAAGAGCTAGAAGATACTACTACTACTACTGATGCTTTGAATGAATGCCACAAATAGCTGGAGGAGTGACTGGATGTAGGACTTACCTCCATTGCTAAAGCACACATCCTATCTGGCAGATAGGATACTCAGATTTCTATCTGGCAGATAGGATATTCAGATTTGCTTGAAGTTGAACTATAACTGGAGAACTCCAGTAGAAGTGCCATGGGCAGAGTCTTGTAGGGTTATCTGGAACAAGTTTATAGTTGTCTCTTAAGGAAATAGACATGCTCCTCTAGTCTGTGGGTTCACCCAACTTTTTGTCGGTATCAGATCTCTCTTGGTTGATCAAGAAATGATCTTTTATTGGATCCATGCAGAGACATCTTCTCTGAGAAAGGGATTGTCTTCTTAGCCTTAATGGAAACTGTAGTGCCTCTTCCTCAAGATGCTATTGCTAGACCTAATGATTTTGAACAATTTCCACAGTCTCCAACTGTCCCTATTTAGGGAAGATGGTTGAAAAGGTGATTTGGTTTCAGCTTCTAAGAATCCCAAAGAAGATATATTATCTGGATCCATTACTGTTGGATTTCAAGTTGGATTAGAGTATGATAATAGCATCAATTTGCACTAATTGAGGACCTGTGGTGAAGCTGAGATGGAGGAAGGCTGGCATCAATCTTGCAAGTTTCATATTCTCTTTCAGGAGAGCCTGAATATCTTGCTTTTGTTAGTTAAGAGCTTCCATTGTCTAGAGAGCACCTTGCTACAGATTCATTGCCACATCAACAGGTAGATTTACAAATAACTAAGTTGCAAAATGCCATGGTGTCATCTGCACAAGGTAGATCAGGCCCCAAAATTAACTCTGCAGGAAGACTAGAATTACATTTATTGGTAGGCTATAATCAAATCTTGCAAGATAATTGTGTTCTCCTTGCCTCCCACTTCTACCCCTGTGTCAATGCAGTACTGGCAGAAATAAACAAAACCCTCATTTGCCTTTTATTTTATAAATAGATACAAATATGAAACATAACAAACAGTTCAATTTTGAATCAATAACTGCTTTCTTTTAACCTCTGCAAATTCACTAGGTTCCATGAATATGTATGCAACCTAGACCAAAGCTGATTTTGGCTATTTATAAAAGAAAATATTTCTGTACCTGATATGTAAAAACAGGTCTCTTATTGACTGTGATAATTCACACATTATTTTTAAATCAATTCTAAGATTTAACTAATCTTCCCAACCCCCTCGTGGCACAACAAAGATAGAAAAAATTCTAATGGTTTCCCCAGTTATTTTAGTAGTAAAGTAAACATCTCTTCTGTTTGATAGACTCTGCAAACTCCTCTGAATTTCAGGAGCAACTGGGTGTTGTAATCTGCATTACAAACTGAAAAGAGTTTACTGAAATTTCTGCAGGGTTTTTCCATATTAGTCTTAATCAGTTATATTATTTCAAGAGGTTAATCAATATCGAAGAATGCAAAAAGCTGTCAGGCCTGAAGCCGATTCCTTTTAGGATCTTTGGCCTGTCACGCTCTCTATTATTGTGCTGTCCTGTTTCATTAGTGTGGAATTGGGAGGGGGAATAATAAGGAGTAGAATGTGTTGCTGTCAAAATAAATTCCTTTCTAGAAAGCCAAGGTCATATTTTGTTCTCTACACCTCTGAAGAGCTTGGAAGGTGAGGCAAGTGGGGTGAGGCAAGTGGGATGAGGCAAGCGGGGTGAGGCAAGGCGCCCCTCAACATGAGTGATGTTGAGTTGACCACGCCCACTCAATCACATGACCACTCAATCACATGACCACT